TTTTTTAAAAATCTAAATTTCACCTGTCTAATTACTAATATTTTAGATACTTTTAAATATTATTTGTATAAATTTTTTTTTACACATTTTTCCTCTCTATATATATATACATATATGTAGGTTAAATAAAGAATTTTTATATATATTTTTTCTTACGGGTAGTTTAGAAAAATTTAGGTAGCTTCAAACATTATTTGTGAATAATATAGAATATTTTAGATGCTTTTATAGATGTTATAAAATATTTTAAGTATTTTCAATATTTATATATCACACTTAAAAAGAATATTTTGCCAAAAAAAAAAAAAACATTAAATACACAGTAGAAATGTTAATAGAAACAGTCTTCAGTGTTCGTCTTTGATTTTGTCAAAACAAATCTCATAAAATCGGTGCAGTCAAAATTTGTCCGTAAAGTCTATCTATACTAAAAAAAGGTAGATTCAAAATTCATTATCTAATTTCTTCTTTTCCTTATCTAATTCCTTCTTATTATCTAATTGTATATAAATCTGTTCAGATTTTGTTCAATCCTCTAATTGTATTTGTATTATATCCCATAAAATTGGTTTAACAAAAAAAATCCATAACATCCGATAAGTAAAAAAAATTACGTAAATTTTTTACTAAAATAAAAAGACTTTATTTATTATCTAATTGTATGGAAATTTGTTCTGATTTTATAGTACGTACTACAAATTGTGCACCCGTGTTCAGGAGCTACTTGACGGGCAAGCTCTGTGAAATAACTCATTTAGTGCTTTTGTCCCGTGCATACGGTATGTAATTGTATTACACATACTAGAAAATTATGCACCCCGTGCATCGCACCGACTCTGTACTAACAAATCACAATAAAATTGTGCATCCCGTGCATCACACGTGTTCACATTTTGGCCTATTACAAGTCACGTACTATATATCCCGTACATTTTTCTTTATTCATTTATATAATTATATGACTTGATAAATGACCTTAATTTTGTGCACCCCATGCATCGCACGGGATCTGTACTAGTAAAACTACAACACAAAGTTCATTTCATATCTACAATTCAAATAGAAAATAATTTATGATTAAAAATTCATTAGAATAATAACATAAAAACAACAGTAATAGGAACCCGTTCTGCCCCAAATTCACAGCAATGGCGGATTACCATTTCGTGTACAAGGATTTGGAAGGAGCTTCGACGCAGTGGGATGATATTCAGAGGAAACTCGGAAATCTGCCTCCGAAGCCGGCGCCGTTCAAGCCGGCCCCTTTCGCGCCCGCCGAAGATGAAGATTTGAAACCGAAAGGCAAGGATTGGCTCGACGAGAAGACCGAGGAAGAGCTACAAGATCTCGAGGATGATCTCGACGACGATCGATTCCTTGAAGAATATAGGTACTTGATATTGATTCGAAATTCGATTGTTGAAGAATAGGAAATGACTAGGCTTGGATTTTTGCAAGATTGTTTTACAAAGAATTGATATACACTTGTTGTGAGTCTGCTGATTGGATCAGTATCAGCAGGATCTTTGTTTTACTTGATTTTGAGAGATGGGCTCACCAATTGTTGGGTGAAATAAATAGTTTTTATTTGAGACTGATCTTTCATTACTTCAGTAACAGTCTTAATGACCGATTTCTCAAACCAAAGAACCTGCCTTTTCTCAGTTTCATGACGATAAAGGATGGAAAATAGCTGTAGGTTGTGCCAATTTTTGAAATGAGATCATGATTGCTGATTATGTTTATATCCATTTGATTTTGATAGGAAGAAGAGGCTGGCTGAAATTAGAGAATCATCCAAGATCGCAAGGTTCGGTTCAGTGATTCCTATTTCAGGATCTGATTTTGTTCGTGAAGTTTCGCAGGCTCCTCAAGATCTCTGGGTAGTCGTGTTACTGTATAAAGATGGGTAATTTTTTTTCTTTTTTTCTATTTTTTGGGGTTTTTTGCTCATTCTTGTTTGATTTGTAGGGAAGTTGCTTATCGGTTGCATCTACATATTCTTATTCATGTCTGTAGTGTCCCTTTTTTCATATGCACAGGTACCCAGAGTGTAGGCTGCTATTGCAATGTCTAGAAGATTTGTCTAAAAGATACCACGCAACAAAATTTGTCAAAATAATATCTACAGAATGTATTCCAAACTATCCCGATCGTAATCTTCCTACTATATTGGTATATTACAATGGTGCTGTGAAGGCAACTCACGTGGGGATACAGAGTTTTGGTCGTAGGTGCACCCCCGAGAGTATGTCATTTTTTTGTCTCTCCCTCTTTACATGCTTTTGAAATTCTGATTCGTCTTGTCTTGCACAAGTAATTTTTGTAATCCCGAAAAGTATGTCATTCATCACTCCCTCTTTATGTGCTCTTGAGATCTTGAGTTGTCTTGTCTTGAACAAATAATAGTTTCTATGTGCTACTGAGTACTTCGCATGTATTCCCTTGAGAAATTTGAGATATCTATTGAACAATCAATCTATCTTGGATGTTGAATTATATTCGGATGGTTTATGTGCCCATTTTTAAATTGAGAAACCAGTTTGAACAGGTTGGTCCACGTGAAAGATATGCAATGAGCATGAAGAGGCCTGTCTATATGTATGGAACAACATGAAATATACGTTTGAAAGACCCAGGAAAAACTAGATTTAGAAACTGATTGTTCACCATAGCTTATGAGTTATGAGCTTCTTCGTGGGTGTGCATAACACTTTATTTTAGCTCTGTTTTGTTCGAGTACTATTGTCGCTTTTCATAGTATTTGTGTCCCTGCCATTCTGTGAGTGCTTAGGGAAATGCAAATGCAATATTAAGTCTCTTTGATTATGGATCGAGAGTGTTAATGAAATTATATACATTTGGATCTTTTTAGGTGTTGCTTTGGTTCTTTGTCAGCTAGACCCTGTCCTGAATGATGGGCAAGGGCGAGAACAATCCAGAGATGCCGTACTTGCTGGAGTCAGGAAGAAGTTTGTGGAGAGGGCTGTGAAGGACCATGAAGATGATGATGATGGATCTTCGAGTGACTGATAATCATATTGTATCTGATGGAGTGATTGTTTTGTTGGTGCATTAGAGCTTCTAACAGATTGTGATGTTTGTGGGATGAAGAACATAAGTTTCTATTGTGTGTTAGATATCAAAAGAACATCTCACACATTTATAATGTGCATGAGGTATGTAATAACTTTCTGCGTGTCCATTTTTCTTTAAAACTTGAGCAGTAGTTTAAGTTCCAAGTGAGTTTTTTCTGCAGTTTGTCCATTTTTCTTTAAAACTTGAGCAGTAATTTGTGATCAAGTGAGTTCTTCTGCAGTTTGTCTGTCAGCTGTATTTTTAGAAGCATCCACTACCACATTTATCTAAAGCTGGCTATCACTGCAAAATAGGCCAAGCCATTAACGAGCCAAATCCAACTCAGCTCGTTAAGTAAACGAGCCAAAAATCAAGCATACGCTCGGCTCGTTTATCAATATTAACGAGTTGAGTTTGAGCCGATCTCCAGTATTAACGCCAAACTACTAAAAAATTATATAAAAAATCTCTTTTCGAGCCATATGGAGCTGAGCCCGCCTCGTTTACAAAACGAGCTTTCAGCGAGCTTTTGCTCAACTCATTTATCAAACTAGTGAGTCGAAGTCTAGCCTTAACAAGCCGAGATCACAAGCGGCTCGTTTCGTTTAACAGACAAAATCTTGAAAAGCTCTTTCATGCAATCACCCCTGAATAATTTCAGCCAACACTCTAACTGTAGCTTGTTTTGTTAGTGCTCACAAGTCACAACCACATCAGATGCAACTATACTAACTCTATAAACAACCTCCATCATGTCAAGAATCTCTACTTTTATATTTAAGCTTGAGACGCCTGCTTCAGTTTAGAAGTCTCCCGCACAAGAATATCGCCGTATGGTTTCTCCTGCTCCACATCTATGCAGCCTCGCGTTTTCAATACCTGTAAAACCCATATTAATTGATTATACCACATCAATTACATGCTAATCATGTTTCAAGTTAAAAGCACAATAATTCATTGTGTTTTGACATTGACACGCTTTCTAAAACAATATTTCAGAAGGTGAACACAAAAGTTCTACCAGCATCTCATAGAACAGCCTCGCACTCTCTTTTCTGGTTTTTCCAGCCAACAACTGTGACAAATGCAACACTTGTTTTTCGTGTTTTCTTTTACTCAGGAATATCTTAGTAAGGTAGCTTCCCACCACCCTGCTTACAGTGAATAAATGAGGAATCCATCATAACCATATTTAACATATTAGTATATTACACTGTACCAGCAGTGGACAAATAGTTTCAAATCAATACCTTGTTCTTGCAGAATATGTGCCTGAAATCAAAGATTATGGGTTAGCAAAATTTTGAAAGAAAAAAAAGTAGTTTAAATTTAATCAGAATTTCCAGTTTTTAAAATGTATAAAACAAAATTGTACACTTGCCTTCTCCCTGGTTATCTCCTTGGAATGAACTTGTGTCCTGATAATAAACATGTTAGTTTCAGACATCTCTCCTTCAAGAAACGAATCAAACTAACACTTGAAGACTCTTTGACTCTAATACTATACAGAGCAGAAAATTTTATACATCCATGAGCAAACAAAACAGTTTGTATGATCAACCACAAGAATCCGAAAGCCACGAAAGTAAAAATAAAAATAAAAAAATAAACCCCACTTCCATGTGTGAATGTTTCTGCATGGTATGCGAATGCTAAACAGTAACTGGAACCTAGTACCTCTTGGAATTCAAAATCTGCTTCTAGCATTTGACTTGGATATGGGATTTTCTCAACACTTTCAGACGAGGAGGTGGGTTCCAGGATGTCTGAATCGGCATCCGCCCCAGCCTCATGTGACGATCTCACTGACTTCAGATGAGTCACAGGTGTACCTGGAGCAATCGGAGGTTGTTCTTGAGATATTATTACATTACCACCAACTTGTTCATAATCCACACGGGCAACCGGAGATTTGACGCATTCAACTTGGTCCATGGATAATTCCACCAATTTAATGGCTGCAAAATTGCTCCACTTCCGTTCAACGTCACAAAGATCTGCTGAGATGACTGCATAGGCACGGTATATAATTGAATATATGAAGGTGTTGAATCTTTACTTAAGTTCAGTAAAATATTGAATTACATCAATTGTGGTGTGCATTTACCAGGAATTGAAGGCTCCACGAAACTTTGAGTAATAGAGGCAAGTTTACGAGCTCTCCAGGCATGTAAAAGAGTGTGAGGAGAGTCTTTTTTCTGTCGTTTTATATCAGTTGGATCATCTATCCAGCTTCTGAATTCTCTATAATAACAAATAAATGAAAGACAATCGATGAAATTCTAAAGTAAATGCAAGCCATTAGAATCTCAGCCAAAGTAAGATACCCTGTGAAGAAAATGTAAACTAAGTGACCAACGACTAAGTGACCAACAATTTTGTTCTGACAACTTCAAAGACATTGTAATACATCTGCTGTGTCACATTTTAGGTTTAGGTGACATTTCATATAACAATAAGTTCTGGAGACATACCTATTAGAGACCACAGTTGTCTCATCAAACAATATCTTCGACTTCCGCTTCTTCAGAATTTTCGAACACTCCTTTCTAGCAGGAGTCTGAACAGTTGCAACCTCGGGTTTACTCGAACCTATTTCTGAGGAAGCAAAATCCTGGATATAAGCATACATCCAATGGAATACAAAAGCTATAAACAGCTAACTCATGACAAATTAAAAAAAAAATGCTTATGCAAAAAAAAATAAAAAATGGAAAGTATGATACTGCACGAATACTAGTACAATCATAAAGAAAGCATCCGCATAAAGAATTTACTAAATAAAATGCAAAGTAATCACCTGGAAGCTTTGGGTCTGGAGTTACAACAGACATTGGAAATTCTTTTCGTTTTTGGCACGTCATGCTCTCTGGGGTAACCACCTCCAAAGATTTCAACTTTTTCAAGCCCGTAGGCTGTGGTTTATCAACCGATCCCGCTAAGGCACCAGGTGGTTCACCCTCTCGAAAATACGACCGACTCTCATTATTGTCTTGTTGCTTTTCGGCTTCATCAGAAATTTTGAAATGAGGGGAATGTTGGACGGGAGAACTATCTTTGTGAAGTGTTCCCAAACTTGCTATTGAATCGGTTCTTTGAGGAGATATATTTGCAGCAGTACTGAACCCCGAATCTTGAACTGGTCCATAAAATCTTGGACTTATCTCCTCTGTTTCAAGTTCAGACATTACCATTGGATCCAGACGGTCTTCTAAAGTGAACATAGTTTCCCTGAGTCTCTCTAAACTTGGTATACTAGTCGTGATATCCTCATTAGAGAGCTTATCATGCAATTGCGAATCTTCAGCCTCATCCAATGTAATAGGTTCTACAAGATCTTCTAGAGAAAATCTTGCGCCACGCAGTGTCTCCATGCTAGAGAATGAAATGTTCATGTTACAGGTTGAACTATCATTATGGTTGGATAAGAGCACACTGCATATTGAAAATTCAATACTCAGTAAAACATCGTCCACATTACATCGTTAAGAGAGGG